CACGCCACTTCCATACGACTGCCACACGCGCTTGTCTCAACAAATTAGCGTAATACTGACCGTTCATTGCAGTTTTCTTTGGAAAGCAATCAAGCAATAATATTTAAATTTTGAATTTTCCCCTTTCTCTATCCACTGCATCGACTCCTATTTGGACTCGGAATCATATTGACGAATACAACTTTTTTCAATTGTTACAAAGAGGCTGTAAAATTAATGCGAATCATTTTGGCATAACACTAAAAAATCTTTACCATTCTCCAATCCAATTCAAATGTTCATGCCAAGTCTCTTCAGCTCATTCTTTGCTGATCTGTAATACTATTTTTTTTTTTTTTTTTTTTTTTTTTGACTTTGTGCACATTTTCAATTTAATTTATTTTATATTATTTATTTTAATTTTGCTTTATTTCATTGCCTTTTTACTTTATTTTATTTTATTTATTTCTTTTTATTCCATTTTTTTTCCCCCCCTTACTTTATTCTTATTTTTATTTTTTTTAATTTTTTTTTTTTTAATAATTGCTATTATTATATCATTCGCATGATATTTATTTTATTAAATTTTAATTTTATGTGGTTGTTCTTTATTTTATTTTACTTTATTTAATTTAATAATAATTAAATTAATTAATTTATTTTTTATTATTTTTTATGTTTTAAAATGATTTTCGTATATATTTTTAATATACGAAATCTTGATGTTGATTATAAAGTTTTTTTTTAGCAGATATCATTTCAATTTTTTTTTCAGTGTTGGTATCAGACTACGAAATATTTTCAAACACCACAGAAGCTTATCGAAGACAGCAAGGTTTGAGCCAATTATTAATGCACTCAAATAAACATGAGTGCGAGTGCTGATAATATCAGTATATTCTAGAAAGCCGGTTTGAGAGCAAATCCTACTAAGAAATATTGTGTCTACTCTCTCCTTTCACGATATTGAGTCGAATACCATAAGTAAATAAAACAAAACAAAAATATGAGAAGCAAAGAGGTAGGTAAACAAACAGCTGTTTGCTACCAATGCGTCGCTGATACATGAATGCAAGTATTTATATATATGTATATGTATATATGAATGTGAACATGTATATGTACGTATGATTATTGAATAAAGCTTTAAGCTTTATTTGGCAGTAAAAAGCTTATTTTAGTGATCTTAGTTAAAAGCCTGTTTTAACTGCATGTTTGGTTTGTAAATTTAAGTTTAGAGTGGGGATATTTCATTTCATTATATTGATTATTTTTTTTTTAAATAGGTATCCTTTTAGATTTTTTGTAGCTTTTGTAATCTACCAGACACTTACATACATACATATGTATATGATCTCTGCTTCATTTTACCAGTCAATATATAATATGTAAAAATGACTCAAGTTGAGCTTACTTTGGTGCTCGGTGGAGTCGGAAAGTGTGGCGAAGCTAACACGTATCAGGTGTACAACTTTGCTTCCGCCGTTTTCCGATAGGTGGCTGTACCGGCTGAGGCTGGTTGAAATACAAAGACGATAATGCCTTTAAAGTGAGTGTGGACAGTGCCTAACGAATTGTCATCGCCGTTTCAGTGACAGTTGTTCTTGTTTTCGTATTATTCACGCTCGAAAATGTCCGTTTATGTGCCTAATTCTCGCCATTTGCGGGAAGTTTTATTTTTCTGTTACAATTCGAAAAAAAATGCAGCTGAAGCGCATCGAATGCTCTCAGAAATTTGATGAAGATTCGTGCCAAACCCAAAAAGAGATCGCTACCGAACGCAACTGATGCGCCTTAGTCGCGCGCTAAAAGAAAAGCGACCACAATATCAAGAGCGACATGTCAAACTCATCCCTCAACACGACAATGCTCGGCCTCACGTCGCAAAAGTGGTCAAAAAGTACCTGGAAGCACTGAAATGAGAAGGCTTATCCCACCCAGATGTCGCCCCTTCTGACTTCCACCTATTCCGTTCGATGGCACACGGCCTGGCAGATCAACATTTTCAATCCTTCGAAGAATTAAAAAAAATGGATTGCTTCATGGATAGCGTCAAAAGAGGACTCCTTTTTTCGAGCCGGGATCCGAAAATTGCCGCACAGATGGGAAAAAGTTGTCGCTAGCGAAGGACAATACTATGAATAATATATCTGTAAGCACTTTTTCGCAATAAAGCTTTTAATTTTGGAAAAAAAAACGGCGGATGCAAAGTTGTATATGAGTTATTTAAAGATGATATGAATTTGTGAAGTTTTCGAAACTTATTTTCAAACACTAGTCCACCCAATCTTTATCACAACCACAACGAAACCAGAACAAAAATATTTTAGTCTGTAATTAATGCGCACATTCATATGCAAATAAATCTTAGCAGGAAACTTAGAATTACGAGCAGGACCGAACCACCACCAACACAAAATCTGAACGACAAATTGAAAACACATACATTCAAACACGTTAATATTTATGCGCAAAACGCACACAAACTCAATAATGCCCCATCACTTTCCCTTCTTTCTTCAACTCGCTATACATAAACGAATTATGCATGAAGATCTCAAAAATTTTAGCTACATTTCAAATTTTTCGCATTTTGGTATGGAAATTCAGGTACAGAAAACTTTGTACATCCCGAAAATTTCAATCACTAATCAGCATCTATAGCAGTGATTTTTATAAAACTTCATAGTTTTGAAATTTCTGTTAGAAATCTTTAATTGTCCTAGAAATTGTCCTAGATTATTTTAGGTTAGGTTAAGCTGATTTTATGGATGCTTTAAAATACTTTGCCATTATAGCAACAAAAAAAAATATTTTTCATTCATCTATGCGAGTACCAACAAACCACATGGTGACTTCTAAGAAGCCAGCGCACAGTGACCGAAATATGTGATTTAGTGTTGTTTAATTGAAATTTCGAAAAGTTAAAATACCAAAAACGTGTTTCATAATCGATAACTAATACAACGCTGAGTAGTTCGATAGTCTTTATTACCTTCTTTGTTATCGATTTACTCAGCTGTTAGCCAAAGTCAACACATATGCTTGCGGCACATAGCTTTCCCGCCAAATTGCCACGTGTGTTTGGAAAACTCCTTAAAAATGTGGGTTTTGCGAAAAATTGAAATATTTAAAAAAAAGGTCAAACATTTTTGTATGTTTGGTCATATTTGAATAAAAATATACTTTTCAGTTGCCATGTCGGTACAGAAGCGGCTACTGTTCCATATATGGAAAAGCGCGCACGCTTGCACTGTAACAGACACAGAAAAAAGTCAGTTGAAAACAATATATTTGATAATATTTATAATGTTCAATATTATTTTTTTTGTTTAATTGGCGCTTTATACCCGCTGAAGTGATTATCCGCGGAGCTCCTTCTCCAATTTGTGGTTTTGCTTCTTGATTTTTTTCCAACAAATAGAAAACTACATAATGGAAGACAGTGGATTTCCGCTTTCAAAATATAAGCCTTACGAACTGCAAAGATTTTTATCAAAAAATATCACTTTTCATAAAATTCTTATGCATGTGCAGCCAACATTATCAAAATTCCTCCACCCCCAACAGAGAAAATTTTCGAAGAAACGCTGGCAGTTAGAAATAAGTATTTACGAAACTTTCGCGTTCACCACACTCGCAATACAACCACGAAAAATACAGTGGAAGACCTCGTTCATGCGCTTTTATTTTCCGCCGAACCATTCGTTTCATACTTGCGTGGTACACCAAATAGTTCAAGTCAATTAATTAACTCTGACGAAGAAATAATTTCGAAATTTTTATGCAATGAAAGCAATTAACGGAACTCGGCAAAAATGGATTAGACCATTACTATATTTTAACACGGAAAATTATTCTAAATTAAGGAAAACAAATAACAATTTTTATGAAAATAATCATTGGAATCCGTTTTTTTTTAATGTTTAAAAAAAGCTATAATTTTTAGAGTTAGACTCAGTAACTAGAAAATAGAAAAACAAACAAAAAAAATTGATTTTAAAAATATCTTTTTTGAATAAAAAAAATTGAATTTTCAATATTTTTTGTTTTTGCTCAAATTATAGCTATTTCTCGCATGTAATCTACTAAAACATATTTAAAGCATGTTAAAAAAAAAGTTTTTAAAGATATGAATTGAAATCACTCATTTCGGCTACTGTGCAGCGTATGCATAAAATTCTTGCTTCGCTTGTACATATATACATAAATATGTTAAAATTTTATGCACGAAGAACAAAGCTTTCGCGGCATTACTTCAAGTAAATTTGACAGTGATTTTTACACTGTTAATTGCTACATTACTATGCTGTATTCTACAACAACTCCAATTACCAGTTACCTTTACGAATGTAAACGCAAAGCAGCTACAACAAACCGATTGGTGGAGATAACGATTTTTTTTCAGAGCGATCATGAAATTCTGCTGCTTGTCCGGAACACGTCGACGACCATATACACATATGGTAGGTATATAATAGCAAAATATACAAGAAATAATATTTATGTATAATTTCAATTTTGCTTAATATTTGAAAGACAGAATGAAAATATTTAACTGTTTCTCAAAGTCACCTATCCTAAAATGTAATAGCTTTTTGAACAAATTATATACATGCCTTAAGAATTGGCTTAAAAAGTACCATACACGCTTTGTCGTATTACGATTTTAAACAAAAATTAGCTGGCTTCATTTAAGTGGTGAAATTGAATTGACAAAGCACATTGAAGGCAACGTACCCTACCTTCTGGAGATGATACTTCAACTAATATAATATTTGCAAAAGATCAGCAGTAACGAGCATGTGTAAGCCTTAAATTCCCATCTACCGGTCAGTGGAAAACTGAATAAATTACAAGCACACAGAAATATATTTACCTCCGCCGATTTGTTTCACAGATTCAATCCAGAGAAATATATGATAAGTGTGTGCTTTAGCCAAAGTTATAAAAAGCTTTTATTTAATATGATAAAATAATTATACAGAATTCAGTTGATTTTATGAAAAACATATCTGATTTCTAAATTTAAATTGATATGTAAAAAATTAATAATTATTATTATAATTAATATTTCTAAGAATTAGACATTTATGAAGCAGCAAGCTTAAGACCAGGTCTATAAAGTGTTATTTCCATTTGATCTGCAATTCATACCATTAGTAATTATAAGCAAAAAATATAATTCATTTTTATCTTACGCAAATATTAAATGGATTGGACACCCAACAGACCAGTGGTATTTAGATTCTTGAGTGGAAAATCCTTTGCGGCCGCAATAAAATCCGACACCGAAATGGCATATGAGTAGCCCTTTTTTATGTTTTTGCGATCCCATTTAATCCACTCGATTTGATTGCCAACATCGTTGCCAATTACGTATTCTCTGTCGAAGTCTTCTTTCAAATGTGGATTATTAATAGACAAAAACACAATGCCTTCGCATCGCTCGTCGTTGATGACCATCCGATAAATAAATTTTGGTACCGGTATTTTTACATCGTTATTACATTTGATGTATAGTTCTTTAGGCACACCATCTCTGTCGGGAAGCGTGCAAACGCCCATACTACCGGAATAACAGGTAAAGATCGCATTACTTTCATTTGAATATGCGCGTATACCCTCTTCGATAGCCGAACAATTGCAATTATTTACTGATGTCCATTGAAAGCAAACGTTTAAATGATTATAAGTGGATTTTTGATCTCCACTAAATATGAAATCAAATTTGGGTGCCATATGGCCCCTTGTTATGCGTTGTTTATCATTTAAATAAATTTTAATCTCATCTGAATTGTAGTTTAATATTTCACAAAATTCTTTTTCAACTTTTGAAAGTTTTAAAGAATTTTTTATGTTTATATTGTCGAAATATTTGGGGTCCGCAGTAAATTCTTTGCCTTTGACCTTTTTTTTACAGTTCATCGTAGCTGGATATATTTTATATTTTACATAAAGTGTTGTGTAATTATTACGATCAAATGACAAAGTCATTACAGGGATTGACTTTCCGTCATTTAGATCATACGTAAACTCAATCAAATCGTCTTTATATTTGCTTGTCGGCATTGGTATGTCTTTGCATTCAAATTCAGAAAATTTTTGAGTTTCGCCATTGAATGAAAATTTTTGGTCTCCCAAAAATTCTGCTTCGATTTTGTTGCCAGAAGTTGTCTTAAACCCACTTGGTGTGCAGTAGAAGCAAACTTTCGCTCCAATTGGTAATGAAATATCACCATCTCGATTAGGTATTAGCCGCATATTCTCATTGGCTATTATCATGATTGGCGAACGATCTGTTGTGTCGTTATTAATATTTATTATGTTACTTATATTAATTTTATTGGCATGATCAAACGTATTTTCATATTTACTTGTTTCAATTTCATTTTGATGGTCAAATGTTTTTTCAATTTTCTTTTGTTGATCGGAAGTGATTTCATATTTATGTGTTTCAGTTTTATTTTGATGATCGAAAGTTTTTTCAATTTTATTTTGTTGATCGGAAGTGATTTCAGATTTATTTGTTTCAATTTCATTTTGATGGTCAAAAGTTTTTTCAATTTTGTTTTGATAGTCAAAAATATTTTCATATTTATTCGTTTCAGTTTTATTTTGATGAACCAAAGGGGTTTCACAATACTTCGTCAATAATTGTTGAGTTGTGAGCCCGCTAAGCACCACTAACCCAAATAATATTGCATCTGTATATATCTTTTTTCTTTTTTTACTTTTGCTATGTGTATCACACCTAATCACTGTCGGAGTTAACAACACAAGTGTCAAACATATTATTATTGTTAATATTATTATTGCGTATATAAAGAAAAATAAATTCTCCATATTTGTCTTCTATAAGTAATTTCACTGTTGCTTTCTGAACGATGGTTGATAATGTAATAAAATTGTTTAGCTTGAGTTTTTCTCTAAGCACCCACTGCTGGAATTGTGAGTGAATAATTGCATTTGAGAGAGAGTAAAATGCAAGCAGCCAACTTAAGGCTGCAACTACTCATTTCACTTACCAGCCGTCCATAAGTGGCGACGAAAAGGCGAGATAAACACACGAGTTATCGACGCCGCTGAGAGCGGCGAAATGTTGCCAGCTGCCTGTGTGGTTGCACACTTTTGAATAAATTCATAATTTTCGTCAACGAATTTCATCATGTATATGCTTGAATATAAACGCAAGACAAATATACATGATCTATATGATAACAAATAATTAGTTAAGCATTTAGTTAATATTTCTTTTGAAAAAAACTACGCATTATCTTCGATTATTTCATATTACTGTAAGAAAGACTATACTGGCAATCTTGTATAGCAAAGAAAAATGAGCCGAGTCGGTTTTACGGAAAAAATCAAATCTTCGTTGGTTTCTGCGGAACAACCGTCACTATCGGCATGGGAAAGCGGTGACAACTTTGTGTTTACATGGCGCTCTCATAAGATAAGTTACTATGGACGGCTGGTACGTGAGTTGGGTAGTTTCAGCCGAAGACAGCAATATTTGAGCCAATTATTAATACACTCAAATAAGCATGTGTGAGAGTGCTGATAATATCAGAATATTCTAGAAAACCCTTTTGAAGAGCAAAACCTACTGAGAAATTATTGTGTATACTCTCCACTTTCACGATATTGAGTCGAATACGATTCGTAAATAAAACAAAACGAAATTATAAGAAACAAAGAGGAAGATAAACAAAATAATATCAACTGCATGCAAGCAATGCGTCGCTTACAGAGAATGCAGATTTTTATTAAATATTTTATTTATCATATATTTTTAATTGTATCTACATATTCAGTGGTAGATTTGATAATTTAGGCTTAATAAATATGTGAGTATTAATTCAATTAAATATTATTAATTTCGAAGGTAAATATGAAAATAAGTCAAAATTCATTGGTACAGTCATTTTAGCGTATGAGCGTACGGAGTCAGTAAGCATGCACTAATGCACATATGTACATATTGATGTATCTATACACATGAATTCATATATAATATATAAAAGTTTCGCATGCACTTGTGCATGTATCAGTCTTTCGTATACATACAGGAGCCTTTGAATGGGTTTAGTTTTTCACTTCAGCTCACGATTTGGCTTTCTGATTTTTGTAAAATTTTGTGATCGTCTCAATACATACATATTCGCTTAGCTTTCTCAAGGCCAACATGCTTAAACATGCGTATTTATGAATATGTGCATATATGTATGTATGTATGCATGTATGTGTGTATATGTGCATACGCATACTTGCATAGCATTAAGGAAAAATGTTTAGTTATGATCGTGCAGAAAAGTATAACTGTGGGTTTTCCCCCTCATGAGTACTCAGTATTTATTCGACGAGGCTTTCACATAGTCGAATGGGAGACAAGTGGAGGGAATTTCACTTTCGCGATCTTTACGATAGATTAGAAGGTTAGTAGAAAAGTATATAACATACATACATACATATATGTATAGAATATACATACGGAAAATGGTACATTACACACTACTTTGTGTGTATTTGTATACACATAGGGTGCTTTGAATGTATGGGTTTACGACATTTACTCGACTCAAATATTTGATTTTTGGCAAAATTTGATTTCTTCTTCAGGCAACTATTTGTGGATGAAAAAAAGTTGAAGAAAAGAAGGGTTGCAAGCGCCAGTTGTGGTTTTTACCTCTTCTTTGCTTTCTTGAAAAAAAAGTCAAATTCAGTTTGTGTGTACAAGACGTAGGCAGGACGGCATTGAAATGGAAGTGACAAAAATGTGCGATAATTTCATTATATTTAACGCTGTTATCAGTTAATTTTCTGTTATCAAAGTAACATACTGTTACGCTCAATTCTGCTAGGTTAACAGTAATTAGTGTGAATTATGTGAAACGAAGTTTTCAGGATTTTGACAATTCCCACTCTGATCCATAATGGCACTTTCTCTTCAAATTCTACATTCTCTGTCGCTGATACATGACTGCAAGTATTTATGAATTTATACATATATATATGAGTATGTACGTGTGATCATTGAAGTAAGAGATTAGGAAAAAAAGCTTTCAAAATAAATAAGCTCATTGTTTATATTGTGAGAATAAGTTTTGAGAGCAAAAAAGCTTAGTTTACTGATCTTAGTTAAAAGCTTGATTGATATAAAAATTGAGGACTGACAGCAAATACGAGTATACATTCGTCATGGGATCAAGGTTTATAAATTATGTTTATTGATTAAAATTCAATTTGGTTCGGGTCGTATTTCTTCGGTCCCAGAGATGGCAATAAAATCACTCGTTATTTCAGCAGTGCAGGATTGTTTGGTTGTAAGAAGTAGCGGCGCAAATCCTCCTGCCTCCCATTTTCCAAAAAAAACCTTTAAACATTTTTGTTAAGCACTCTTCGGTGTACTACAATATTTGCATTTACCGTCTGATCATTTTCCAGTAGAATAGCAGTTACGATTTTCGATCGGGTGAAGTGAACTAACATAATTACTTCTGCTGTTGATTTTTGTTGCTTAGATTTTAAGGATGGGTTTACTCGTGATAGACTCCAAACCATGGTTTCTGCATCATACTAATAGAACCAAGATTCGCCACCAGTAACGACTTTACTAAAGTTCATAGAGTGACCATTTCGAACTGTTACTGTCGACATATCTACTATATACGGTTTGAATAATTACTTGAGTTGAAAGAGACTATCGGACGGAACTATGCGAATTTGAAGTACGAGGACCTTTCAAAGGTGCGATCAGAAATATTGCTTCAATTCCTCAGTGATATTTCGACTGAGAGTCACGAGCCATTGCAGAGTTTCGGCTAGTTAATATATCGTAGCATTACGTTTATTACCGATGCGCTGAACCTCCGTACGTAAATTGAACCGAAATTACGATTCTTCCCAAAATTTCAGTCCTTGGTCCACTTTCAGAAATCTTTTTCGTAAAAGCCTTCACGGGAGTCATAGGAAAATCTGACAAAAGTCAGGTTAAACAGACGGGAATCATAGAAAAATCTGACAAAAGTCAGGTTAATCAGTCGGTAACTTTTGGATATTTCCGGATCTGTGAACAGGTGAGTTAATGGAGCTCAACAATTCAAGACCACACAATGCATATTTCGCAACGTTTGTGAAAATTTTTCTGAAATCTGTCTCTATATTCCTTATTTCTTAAGTACGAGGGACGCTTGATAAGTTCGCGGCCTAAACAAATAGTTCGTCTATTCCATTTCACTGCATAGTCTCCCGCAAGTGAAATATCCTTTTCACATGGTTAATACATATATTTATACGACTGAAAAAATAACCTATATATTTCTCTTAAAAACGGTTTCCTACGGCCGACTTCATCTCTTTGTCGTTTGAAAATCTTCATCGCCGTAAAGTCACTGGGAGCCAAGTTCAGAAATCTAGTAGCTTTTAAGGCATCTTTTGCAACCCAAGCGGTGTAAACGGGTGTGTTGTCTTAAAGAAACTCCGCGCGCTACCTTGACGCGTCTATTCTGTACGACTGCCTCCCGTGTCTGTCTCAACAACTTATGTTAATAACGGCCATTGCAATTTGGCGAGTAATCAAACAATAATATTCCCTCGCTATTCCAAAAAATGCTAGTCACAATTTTCGCTGTCGATTTTTTCGCATTGAATTTTTTTTTGGTGAGGTTTCCCCTTTCTTAATCCTCTGCATCGCCTACTATTTGGACTCGGGATCGTATTGACGAATCCAACTTTACTCAACTTTTCTAAAGCAGCTGCGAATTTCAACCGAATCAACTTGCCACAACTCAAAAAATCCTTACAACTCTGCAATCTTCGCTGCTTGTCGACCGGCGTGAGCATTCGCGGTATCCAATGCGCACTAATTTTTTTCATACTCAAATGTTCATGCAAAATATCTCCAGCTCGTTCTCTACTAATCTAATACCTCTGCAATCTGCCACAATTTAATTTTTCTACCGGTCAGTACTAATTTTTCGATTTTCTGAACATTTTCTTCGGTCACGATCATCAATGGGCTTGCGAGTGTCATCTTCACAGGTCTCTCTTCCTCGGTGAAACAGTCGAGCCCACTTTTTTATCATCTTTTATGAAGGGACCGAGTCCTGAAGAGCTGATGACATATCCTTAAAAATTTCATACGGCAAACTACGCTTACTTCAGTAACTAGGTGATGACACATCACCTCTAACTACCTTAGGTCGCAACCCATCAGCCGCCACTTGTAGACGAAATTCGTTCCGGTACAAGGTGTTAGACATGATTTTGCATCCGAACGTGCATTTACTTGGAATTTCCGCAGGTATGTATGTACATATGTATATTTCTTCCTACCCCAAAATTTTAATTATACCTTAAGAAAGAAATATTCAGAGTCGCACGAGAACATACGAAATTAGGAGCAGAAGAGTCTTTGTGTAGTGAACGAGAAAATAAAAATATGGACTTTTCATAATGAGGCTTACACTGATCACCTGCTACACCTGATTTAATAAAAATATATAAAAATAAATTGGCATTTAAACTGCACGCGCTGAATATTTTTCAGTACATCCTTTTTTGTTAAGTTGGTTGCACTGTCCTTAATTCCCATGCCAAAAGTGAGCTCGATTTATCAAAGCAGTTAGCTTGCTGCAGCTATTGAAATCAATCGGCCTCAATTCCCTCTTTGAACTGCTTTTACGGCCTGAATCGAGTCGAAACAGGGGAGTGGTAGTTTGAGATTTGGATACAAAAAAAGTTCCATGTGGACAAATCCGGTGAAAACGGTAGCTGATCGATGGTATTTAAAGAGGTTTTGGTCTTAAAATAGTTCACAACTACAGCTCGGTGCGATTGCGCAATGTCGTCGTCATAGTTACTGGAAATATTTGGCCCCAACTCCGGCCGTTTACGCCGGAGTTTTTCACGCAAACACCTCAAAATGCTCAAATACGACTCTTTATTGACCGTCTATATCGTTGGAACGAATTCATGATGAACCAAACCGCGAATATCGAAAAAAAGCGATATGTGGAAACTTTCTGGTCCTAATGTTTGCTCTCATATTTATAGCGCTTTCATCAGTATAGAAACGAGAGAGACCAAAATATTTATTTTCTCACAACAATTCCATTATCTCTGCCTCTTGTTGCTCTTTACAATGATCGCGTATAACATTGGCACCCGGTTGTGGGCTGAACTCAGTACGCTGGTGATCGTAGCTAAAAGATGTGACTGCAAGAGTTATAAATATGTAGATACAACTGTCAAATATAATAAAAATAAAATGTACTTAAGCGCCACAGTAGAGATAACACAAATGACAACAACAACAGCAGCAACAACAAAAACAACAACAACAACATGGACAACAAAACATTTGTTGCATAGAATTTTAAATATTTATATTCTGTTCAATATTTTCTATGGTGTTGCTGGCCGAGAAGCAGTGACGCCAAGCGATGACGTCGAGTCTCTACTGAAATGTGAAACTGAGGCAGGTGTTGTTGTAATGCCGATGGTTTATACTACGGCAAGAAACAACGGTAAGTTAGTGAAACGATGCGCGCATTGTCTCAGTGCTAATGAGCCATATGCAAATAGCTGTGTGTGTTTGTACATATGTATGTATGTATGAATGTATGTGAATGCACAGGTGGATGTGAAAGCGAAGTTTGTTTATGAGTTTTTTTGTTTTTTTTTCTTTTTTTATTTTTGCTCTCGGCCATAACACATTATACAGATGTACAGATATACGTATCAGTTTATATCGCGTGAATAAATGGCTTAATTGTTTATTAATTAAAAAGTGTGTAAAAAATATAAAAATTTGCTATTTGTCATGCTGCAAAAGTTAATAATAATATTACTATACTACTTATTTTAATGCATTATAACGTTTAATGAAAAAATTTTTTTTTTTTTTTTTTTTTTTGGTTGCTAAAATTTAACATTTAGTGCCCCGACGCAAAAAGCTTGTGACCTTTGTTATATGCACTCTGATACAGGGCTTTCCAATAAGAGGGTTTTCTTTTTAAATAAATGATCATATGTTTGTTTCAGTGCAAAAAGGAAGATATACCATCTCGGCTAAGATTACGGTGCTTGAATCCCTTTTATGAGGTCTTTCATCACCAAATCGCACAGTGGCTGTGGTATGCCCTCAATAGCTTCACTAAACTCCTTATTTGAGGTCTTAAATCGATGTTGGCCTGTTGGCGTAAATCTTATTTTTCACGTGGAAGTAGTCGCAAGGTGTCAAATAATAAGATCTCGGTGACCAACTGCGTTCATCTCTTCGAGCGATCACACAATCCGGACAATTTTACTTTAAACTATCGATGGTTTTTTTTGCCTATGTGAGACGTAGCGCCGTCTTGTTGGAAGTCAACGTTGCCCAGATCAAAACAATCATTAATCATCACTCGATAGCGTAAGACCACCGCAACTGTTGCTGCAGCCTCATTTTCGATCAAGTCAAACACCTCGCCGGATCATAAACTGATGCAAACAGTTACTCGTTGAAGTCGGAGAGGCCTTTTAACAATAAATTTTCGGTTTTACAACGTCCATTTTTTTTTATTGACGTAGCGATCTCGGTGAAAATGAACCTCATCAGTCACGATGATTTTTCAATGCAATTCCGGAACATTTTCAAGCATTTCAATTAGCCAATCAGAAAAGACACGACCTTGTTGATAATCGGTCAGCTTGAGTTCTTGAGAAAAAATAAACTTCATAAGCCTTAAGGCCCAAGTCTTTACGCAAAAGAAAATGTAATGACTTTGGAACGTCGGGTCATGGACAACTCCGGGTTTTTTTCAACGTTCAACTTGCGCCAATAGCTCCATTTTTCACACCACTTTCTGCATTGATAAAACGATAATCACACAACCAAATAGATCTTGCTGTAATTGATGAAAATACATCTCCAGTGGTCTAGTTGTGCGTACGTTTCGAGAAGAAAATATTGACTCGGATGCCCATCGTGTCGTAACGAATGTACGCACCTACCTTCGTGTATATAAAAATGTCAGCCAAAAGCAAACACGAGAAAGGTTCGACGTCGAAAAGTTGCTAACACAATACACAACCGAATGGTTTTCTACTTACACACCTGTTGCTGAGAGTACTCATCGGCAACTGGATATAAGCGAACTATGGAACGGCATCTCGAACTCTACACGCACCGTTGGTATGGAAAAAAATGGTATTCGGCAGTGCCAGAAATACAGTTTTTACGATCAGGAATGACAAACTGCAGTAGAGAGAGAACGGACTGCCTGCCTCGGTACGTTGAGAAAGACCACAACACGTGCCTGGTGGATTACATACCGAGAGTTGAGGAGGGAAGCAAAATACATTTGCTGATAAAACAGGAAAGTGTTCGATATACGCGAGTAAATAGAGCTTGAAATTGAATGCTCTAAAACTCTACGAAAAGATACGGCGACTCGCAGAAGATTCCACGACCGGATCTCATCTTGCAGGTATTAAGATGATAATCTGAAGAGTGATTCTTGCACAATTTTGGCGTATCCTACAGAAAGCTCCAACTATTGATTGATAAACCTTCTTTATATTGAGCATAATGCTCTTGCCCACAGATGGACAGATTCAGATTAGGTAGTTGAACTGAAAAGTCCTACTCTCGATGAAAAAAGACGGAACTCTCCAAATCGCTCATCATTACCGATAACAATAACTTACGAGTGGTCGTCAGGAGTTTCCGAACCAAAAGGCATCAGCTGCGCTTTTTATTCGGTCCAAATGCAAGGCAGTAATCCAGCGCTGCAAAGTTTTCGATGCTTTACGGAAGAGCAAAGGAAGAGAAATCAGGTAGAAAAGGAACTAGCAAAACTTCGTATTTCCAATTGACGCCAAATAGCAGTATGAAGTCAGGTAATGCTCACTATTGTTGATTCGGCTATAATCGTGTATACATTGCTTACGCCAAAGACTAATAAGAGCTTGGTATTAGCTGTAGTTTTGGTTAGATAAATATCAATTTATGTGTACACACCGTTGAGCAAACCTTAGCTTATGAGATCTATAAATAAACATTTATTTTTTTTTTCTTACAGCCCCACCATGTCTCATCGACACACAGCGAGACCTACCCAAGCCTAACTTACCACAACCGCTGTACCTACGCCCAAACTCCTCCGAGTACTGGTTGCCAAATGACGAAGGCTATCTCGAAGTGCCACACGGCAGCAGCATCGAACTGGTATGCACCGGCGCTTTTGCGAATATCACAGGCACGTCAACAGGTATATCCCAGCGAACACGCATTATCCGCCCGCGCTGCATACAGGGCACCACTTTTAGCTTGAACGGCGACAAGTATGAATTTCAGCAATTTCTATGCACAAAATCCGTCAAATATACCGTCGAACGTACAGCGCAAACTTGTGCCAATCACACCGCCCAATTATATCGAGTTGGTTACAATGTAACAACCAAAGGACGCTTCGTGGAAACAATGCATATCTGTCACGATGATGATGAACTGCGTACGCACTATGTACGCTACACGCTTGTGCCCGGCAGCGTGTACTTTCAGCCGAATGTGAAACGTTTGAGTTTCTCAAAGGCGCAACATTTTAGCGCCTACAACATGAATCAACTGTACTCTCAAAAGAATCAACGCTTGAAGGCCGCACAGCTGCTTAACACCGAACCGGAGGCACTCGCATACGCCCTCGATGCGAAGTCGCTTTATCTATCACGCGGCCACCTGGCGGCCAAAGCTGATATGATATATGCGACACAGCAGCGCACCACTTACACATTCTTCAATGCCGCACCGCAATGGCAATCATTCAATGGTGGGCAATGGGCAACGGTGGAGAACAAAGTGCGCGCCTTTGTGGCGAAAAAGAAGAGGAGCGCAACATGTTTCACCGGCACAGTGGGCACAATGCACTTGAAAAGTGCAGATGCTAATGTGCGCTTGCCTTTCTATTTGGCTGCTGATGCTAATAATAACGGTTTATTGCCAGTGCCAGCGCTATATTATCGCATTATTGTGATGGGCTATAGTGCTGGCATTGTGTTGTTGGGTGTCAATGATCCACACGCCACGGTGAGTGAAATCCTTACTGAATATGTGATCTGTCAGGATGTGCGTGAACAGGTGCCTTGGCTGAGTTGGATGCGAAATGGCGCAGGGAGCTTGAGGCGTGGTTACTTGTACGCCTGTCGTGTTGATGAATTTATTAAAGTCGTGCCGGCTTTACCAGTGGAATTAGGCAACGTCACAGAGCTGCTGTTGTAGTGTGAGTGTTGAATAGCGTAAGATGGCACACGAGCTCCGTCCAGCAAAGATAATGATTTTAGAAGAAATTATTTTGTTTCAATGTGAAAGACACATTAATTTTTTCGTAAATAATTTAAATACATTTAGTAAATTATTAATGCAATTTAGTGAAAATATATAGATAATTTAATATATATAAAATCAGTTCATAAATTATTTTACTTTACTTTGATAAACAATTTCAACAAAAAATCTCAAAATATCCATTTCCATTTAAAAGCAAAGTTTTCCAATAAGATATGTGATTTTGCTATATAAGGAATGCATTTTTTTGAGATTATACAAGATGAGATAAGATGAGATGCCAATAATAATGGAAAACAATATCAGCATAAGGGCCGCTCCGGCTTTGCTTACAGGACTGCATCCTTTTTAAGAAATTTTCCAACACCAAATCGCAAAGTGACCGCTTTGTGTCGTCAATAACTTCACGAACTCCATCTTTTAGGTCCTGATTCGAGGTTGGCCTGTTGGCTTTGCCCATATTTTCCATGTGATCTCAAAGGAAGAAGTCGGTAAGTTTAAAATCGTAAGATCTCGGTTGCCAATTCCGATCACTTCTTCGAGAGATAACACGATCCGGAAACTAAGCCCTAAAAACATTTGGTTTCGTTGCCTTTGTGGCACCTAGCGCTATCTTGTTTGAAGCAAACTATGCTCAGATCAATACCATACAATTCCGGCCATAAAATATCATTAATAATCTCTCACTAACGCACTGTAACTATTACTCCAGCATCATATTAGAAAAAGTAAGGTCCAATGACTGCACCGAACCGCAAACCACACCAAACAATTATACCACAGTTACTCCATCGTCAGCGGAATGGAACTTCGACCATAATTCTTGGGTTTTGCGTGCTCCAGTTGCCGCAGTTTTTCTCATAGGCGTTGCCATCGTGGCGGAAGTGGTCCTCATTAGTCACGATGAGTTTTCATTTCAAAAACCCAATCAGCAAAGACATGTCGTTGTGCATGATCGGCCGACTTGAGTTCTTGTGTTAACTCAACTTTTTGAACTTCAAGAGCCAAGTTTTTATACAAAATCTTTATCTTTAAGGCTTTCTTCGATTCGCTGTGATACCTTCTTAGAAGCAGATATATTCTTTACTTTAGTACTTTAAAAACTGTATTGATCAGGTAGTCTGAAAGAATATTCTATAGGGAGGTTCCTTGAGAAGACATCGCCACCAACTCTCCTCTAAAGTTTTGATTTATTTGCCTTTATTTCCAGGCTGCCACAGAGAGCTTAGTAATTATGCCTTAATTCTTCCCTCGAAGAATTTGTATTCTGAATTAGTTAACAGTGAATGTAATCGAACCGCATCGGATTGTCGAACATTTTCAAGTGTCCTAAAAGCTGATTCAATTATTTGACCTTTTTAAACGAAGTCGGCTTAGTGTTTTTGCCGAGTTATACACCGTTCAGTGGATTTTGAATATTGCGTACTAAATTTACTCGGCGTGTTTTTCAATGCTCGACTGATGCATATTCAGGCATGTGTTTGAAGCTTTACTTTGAGCTGGCCACCACATAATCGACCCGACATGGCTTTGAATGCGTCCTCTATGCATAACAGCCTTCAAATATCTTTGAACAGTATTAGTTTTCAGGTTAAGTCTCTTATCTGAAATGTCTCCTGGAAGTTTGTCCTTCCTCTCCAGGAGTTCTTAGATCTGCTTGTAAATAGCGCTACCTCCGCACAGAGACCCGTAGAACCCTGGCAGGGTAGACTAGGTTTTTTAGTGTTTACTGTTCTTGTCTTTGCATGATGCCGTCTTATAGGCAACGACTCTACCTCCACCCCAATGAGTTAATGTCGTATTTACTTCTAGGTTCTAGCGAAATGGGGGGAAAAGCAATTTGAGAATTATCTTTAAAAACACGTCTTAGTTGAGAGAACCAAATATTTGAAGAGAGGCCATTATACAAAAAAAAATGTCTTGTGCGCTCTCTAGACCAGAGGTATGATTGAACCTTACTTCTTTAAAAGCAACAAAGATGATATTATCACTAACAATTCGTACCATTACGGTCATATGATAACTGACTTTTCTTTGCCCTGCGATGGAAGAGCACGACTTGGACAATATAAGGTTTCAACCACGTGGAGCTCCAAAAAACACGACCCAAACTAATATGGTTTCGTCGTTAGAGAAATTTTGATGCTCTCATCTTGGATATATCAATTGGCCACCGGGGTCGTTGGATTTACCCAAAATATTTTATGCGAATAAATATTTAATTATTGAGGATTTGAAACAGTCAAGTTATGGCTGAGCTACCATCCAATATGTTCCCAAAAGTAGTCAAAAATCACTGCACTTCAATTTTTGCCCAACAGTTTTACTCTTCAATAAGTTCGAGCCTATTAAACTGCGTTCCCCAGTCGCGCTAGACTCATATACTTTCTTATTTATATTTTCAAGTCATTAAAAGTTGAAGTATTGGAAAATATAAAAAATATAAAAACGAAAGAAAAAGAAGAAAAATGGAATACGCTTTGTGGTTGTCGGAAGAAAAGACAATTTGTGGCCTGACTTTGCGCTTTCGCCCCCAAGCACTATATGAAATGTGGATATTTGATTAGAGCGAAGCAGGCGAGCGATGGGTCAGCATTGGCATTTCACTGGCAACATTCTGATTTATTCTTTTACCCTAATTTTATAAAATAAAAAATATATTTTCGCTTTATTCATTTATGTTGCATTCATTCGCTTTTCGGCACGTTTTCCCCCTTAAGGAAATTAGACTTCCGGATATTATATTGACGCATTTTCATTTGCTCTTCTCATTCATGTCTTTATGTGGTGAATAAGATAAATTATAGAAATGATTTAATAAACCAATGGAAATAATGTTGAAAAATTGCTTATTTTGATTAGAAAACAGAAAAGAATTTTTGAACTAAAAACATGCTTTGTAAATGCTTATGAAGATAGATGAAGTTAAATATATATGTAAATATTATATATATATGTATATGAGTGTTGCGAAGTGATTTGGATGGCGCTCTGAGTCAGCAGTATGAACTGCATACGAATATCATGAAAGGGAAAGTGAAGAAAGTTTTTTATTTCAATGTGAAACCACACACAGGAGACGTGGCACCGGAAAATAAGAAAAAAAATTATGAGAAAAAAATTTTTTTTTTTTTAATTTTATAAGGAACAGTATAAACTGAACAGTAGTAACAAAATATCCTGAATTTATTGCGATAGCCTTTACGAGGTTTGTTTTTTATGTGTTGGATATTGGCAACCCTGGTATTGCAATCTGGCAACTGACAATGTTAACGTAAAGCTTAACAATTTTGAAGTGAAAAACGAAAATAATGGACATCGGTCAGTTGGAGCAGAGAGCAGTTTTAGCAATTGAAGCTTTAATGGAATTTTCGGTGTTGGTTTAATTGCATGCTGGCGACCTAATGACAGCTTGACTGACAAATATTTGCCTTGTATCATTAGATTGTAGTTTTTGCCGGCTTTTCTGCTTGGAGGTCTAGCTGGTGGACAGCTTTCAATTTAGTATATGGTTGGTTGGTTGATTGGTTGAAGTGGCTCAGGGCATCGGCACAACTCGTCCCCAAACCGGTCCATTTTGATACCACTTGAGGCTCTCAGAAGACCCCATCCGTTAATCGAACCAGTGCGTGGAGTTTGCGAAACTGAACAGTTGTCGCATCTTAGACCCCGCTATCTCGCTCAGGTCTCCAAGGTTTGCCGTCCCTAGAGACTGCGAGTGGTTTTTTCGATTAGCTGTATGTTTACAGTTCGGATAATTTCTTGTCGATGGCTTTTTTGCAAGCACAATGCGCACGGTATAATTCCGTGATTCAGCTTCATATGATATTGCTTGTTTTAGTTTAACACAAGAGATACAGATCTCAATACATCTTTTGGTGGGCATTCAGTTGTTGTTGCTAAGCCAGTTAGTCTAAGTTATAGAGGTTATCTAACTGGAGCTCGAGGGAGAAGGGTTTAAAGGCGGCATTCAAAGAATTGGTGAGGACTGGCTATCCGTAATGATATGAATGTGACATCCTGAGAGCGCCATTGAGCAGAAAGAAAGGCCGTCCACGAGTATGTCCGCCAATTCCGTCTGAAAACACCATAGTGATCCGGTAAACGAAGGGCTTTGCAAATACCAAACTCCAATGAGTTGAAAACTTCCAACGTCGACTCCACAGATGTTGTCATATAGCAGAACGGGAACGATAAGCAACTAGTAGAGGTTGACCTTCCTTCGTCGAGTAGGGCTTTACTTTGCAATTACCTACTCATACCAAAGTAGCATCTGCTGGTAAAAGTGATTCTGCGTTGGTTTTCCGCACTGACATTGTTGTTGAAGCTAATATTGATTCCAAGCCGAAGAAATCTACTATTTCAAAGTTATAACTATCGAGAGTAACGATTGCGACGACTTTTTTTTTGACGGCGGATGATATTTTTTTAAATATTTTTCCACAGCTGTATGAAAGCTCGTTTGGTATTGAACGGTTCGGAGAGGCCCTTCCCGATCCTAACGGAGCTCTTGGTGTCGCTTAACATCTTGATAATATATAAAAGTTTTGCGGGGATACCGAATTTATTCCTAACCGCGTAGAGGCAGCTCCTTTTAGCGCTGTCAAAGGCGGCCTTAAAGTATTTTTCGAGACTTGGCACAGGGTGAATATTTGGTCAATGGTTGACTGACCAGATCCAAGAGCCACACTGATAAGGTCCAATCAGTCTATTGACGGTGGTCTTTTACACAATATGCTTGATAGGACCTTATATAACTTCACTTAGCATCGTAAGGCTTATTCCACATTAACTGACGCAGACTATGGGATATCTACTTTTGCGGGTTTGGCAGAGCACACTTAGGCTCCCATCGTCGGACATGTTTTCATACCAAGATATTTTGAAAAGAAGCTGATGCATGCAGCAACATCTAGATAATTATTTTTAGAAAAGCAACTTACTTTTGGTCGGTAATGTCAAGCGTACTTCTGACATGAAGTAAACCCTTTTTATAAAACTCAATCAGTCAGTCGGAGTTCAGTCCACCATCACTGAAACGCCTATGCCTCGTAGCC